TATATTTGTATTTATATTATTTTTATATATATTTTTGATCAAGCTTTTGAGGATTTTGAATTCCAAAAGTTTCGAAAATTTGGAATTCCAAATTTTAGAGCAACAAGTCCTCAAGCTTCTGAGAATTTTGTGTTCCAAAAGCTTCGAAAATTTGGGATTGCAAAGATTTTATTAGTTCCAAATTTTAAAGTATCGAGCCCCGAAGCTTTTGAGAATTTTGAGTTCTAAAAGCTTTAAATATTTGGAGTTCCAAAAATTTTATTAATTCTAATTTCACAATAACGATCCCTCAAGCTTTTGGGAATTTTGAGTTCCAAAAGCTTCGAAAATTTGTAATTCCAAAAATTTTATTAATTCCAAATTTTATAGTATAGAGTCCTCAAGCTTTTGGGAATTTTGAGTTCCGAAAGCTTCGAAAATTTGGAATTCCAAAAATTGTATTAATTGATACCATGTAATTGATTAAATTACCACTGGTCTAATACTATATTTTTGAAATATTTCACAATAAACTATAAGAATACTGAAATAAAAATATTACACAATGAAATTACATAAAATAGTATTCCATGTATGAAAAATATATTTCGATATGTTTCGTTGATAAATTTATTTGTATAAAATTTACTTGAATCGTTTCAAATTAGCATATTGTAGGATGCAATTTCGAGGAAAGATAATCGCAAATTGGTCAATACCAACTCGGAATCCTATTTTCGGTAAATAAATTATAAACCGATCGATAACCTATGTGTAGCATCATTCTAGAAGCAAATCGAAAATCAACCGATACCGTTATGAAAAGCTATTTTCAATAGCAAAACTAGGTTGCATAGTCTTTTGAGGAAGGTGAAACACTGATCAACGAAATCGTAATCATCGCGGAGAGCGAATCGCGAGTCCCAAAAGGGACGCAATTTTTGTGCAATCAAATCGCTAATCGGCTGAATCATATCAGCTACATACTAATTGAATAAATCACGCTAAATAAATAAATAATCATCTTCAACAATATTAACAATTCACGTGTAAAATCTCAACGCCATCTTCATTCCAGGTGTCTTCCTGCTACTCTTCAGCACAGTCGCAGCTGAGACGGCGAAAGACCTGTCAGCGAGCCCAGAGAAACTCACTCTGGATGCGACTGGCACGTCGTTAATCGAGAGCAACAAAACAATCCTGAACAAAATACCGTCGAGGGAGGAAACCCTATCCAGTTCGTCAGAACGCAAAAACGAAGCTGTTGGCCCGTACAATTCGACCAAAGAAGATTTCGAAACGGTGCACGATAAGCTTACCAAAGATGCCAAAGGAGAGGACGAGGAGAAAGTGCCAATGCCGATCGACGAGGACCCCGAGCTGCAAGGAATCGGGTCACGCGACCAAGTCGACAGGTTATCGACCGCTGAATCCCCCAACGGAAGCTCGAAGCTCGACGAAAGTACCTACGGAACCTCTGGCAAGAGTTCCAGCACGAAAACAGTGTCGGAAGTCTTCTACAGGCTGTCCAGGACGAATGGTTTAACCACGGTAACCACGAAGCCTTCGTTGGAGGAATCGAAAGTCGACGAGACAAGGAACAAAGCTGTTCAACGATCCAACGATACCTCGAGGCAGGAGCCAGGCAAAACCGCGAAATCCTCGCTGGATAACTTGGAGCTGAAAGAGGATCATCCGAGACTGGAGGCAGAGGGTTTGTCTATAGAGGCGAGCGAGAACCCAGGATTGAAGCCAGGCGCAGTGAACGCTGAGAACGACTCAGCGGCGCAGAAAGTTCGTTTCCTGGAGGAGTTTCAGGACAGGAGAAAAAAGGCGGAGAGTCAGAGCCCCGTGAAGAACTCTGAAGTTCCGGACCTGAAAGGGACGGATGAAGGGAGTGAAAAAGATGGGTCTATCTCGTTAGTCAACGACATGCACGTTAACTACAGCCACCAGTACAAGACCACGACAGAGGGAAATGTGGAGGCTGGCAACAAGCCTAGGGCTTTCGAGAACGCCACCAACTTTGTCACCGAGGAGACCAGCGTGACTCACGAGTCACGAGATCCGAAGGATGAGGTAGAGGTCGTCGGGAATGTGATTCAGCCGGCTGTCGAGCGAATAGTCGAGCGACAGTCCCAAAACTCGACACCGAAGGACGTTAGCCTCGCGAACGAGCTGAGCGAAAGTTCGAACGGGGACGCGGACTCGAGTTCCACGAAGGTTAACGAAACTAGTGGAGGACCGGTGATCGCGAAACAGGAAGAGACGAGCGAGAAGGATCCCAGATCGTCGCAGTTCACGACCGAGGCGCCAATTCGTGACGAATCCTCCACGCCACAGACGTCCTCTAGTCCTGTACCCAGGGGAAGGACCATAGCGTTCACCGGAGGGAACGAGTTTCCAAGTTCAGACGTGAAACCCACTGCAGCCTCGAAGCTGGACGTTTCTTTCTCGAAGAAAAATATCACGGACAAGCTGGTCGATCAGAAGCCTTATCCTTATCTCAAGTCGTCTATCAAGGAACCGCTGCACAATGCCAGTAACCAGCTAGACGCGACCACCGAGGAGGCTTCCGCGCTAGAGAACACTATAGGTAAAGGTCAATCAGAGGAAAAGTTCATCGTGACAGAAGCGTCTGACGTATTGGAGAACAGTATCCAGCAATTTAGACCGACCTACTACGAGAAAGTGAGCAACGAATCCTCCACGATTTCCAGCACGGATGTCCGTTCGTCCGTTCCAATGACGACCTCGTCCCTGGTGAGGTTGGACGACGCCAGTCCAACGAATCAGACGATTATCGAGAAATCGAGCGATCAGGAGGCCATAGCTGAGCTTCGAGAAAAATCGACGAGCGCGGGAAATGACGTGCCCCAGTGGGGTGAGAGCCGCGAGGCTATCTCTGGGAAGGGGAACATCGATGTGACAGGGAACGGGATAACGGAAGTGAGCCTGAAGCCGGAGAGCGATAAACGTGCCTACGAGGCCACTCTCCAGGGGATTACGGTTCGAACAACTGCCGGTCCTTTGACAACCGAGCCTATGGAACCGCAGACAGACCTAGGCATGCTTTCGACCAACACGGACGTGCAGACGAACGTGGAAGGTTATCTCGTATTGCGATCCACATTGAACGCCACGGAGTTCTCCACCGAGTATCCCTTTGTCAAAGGGAATTTTTCCGACAAGCGATCCACCGTACTGTCCACTTCTCCAACCGACACTAGCGCCACCACGTTGCCTACTACTACCGTCGAGGAAGCTTCGGTAGCCAAAGTGACCGAAACTCCTGTAACTTCTGACGCGAACGGAACCAACGAGATCCCCAACAGTGCGAGTGGTACTCTCAGTCCAGACGAAAGTTCCATGCCCACCACTACCAGTATCGAGTACGAGTTCGTTGGTCTGTCAGAATCCACTACTTTTCTACCGAGGAACGTCACCGAGGAAACTCCCGAGGCTCGCGAATTGTTAAACGAGACCTCCACCGTGCCTACTGTTCGTGATTTGCCAATGAAGAATACAGCCAACGAGGCTACCACTACCAACGAGTCCATCACCGATAATCCATCCTCAACTGCCGAGACAGAGGTAACCAGTATCGATGACAGTGGGTCTAACAGTCCAGTGACCGAGCAGACGATCGTCCCTACGTCTGTACCAGGTCCAACCACGATGAGCAAGGAAGAGTTCATGACTGAATCGAGCGCTATAGAGGAGGAAACTGATAGAAGCTCGAGCAAGGAAGACGAGCTGCAGAAAACGACCAGTGTGACGGATTCCTGGAGCACTATCAGCGAAGGAGACACGACTACGATCAAAACGGAGCAGACTGTCTCGCCGGATACCAGGGATTCCCGTTTCATGGCGAACGTCACCGAGTCCCCCATGGAATTCACGTCGATATCGAACGTTAACGCGACAGATGCCACGCGAGTGGCCACTTCCAGCCCCTTTATCCCAACCGGTCTGCGACCAAGGGTCCCGGTTTCGAGTAGCACGAGCACTCCAACTGCCTCCGGCATACCGGCAGTGAAGACAGATGACGAGAAGGTGTTGCCCACCCAGGAAGAGATCACGTCGTTGGTTCGCATCGACATAAAGGGCGGCTGGTACGACGTGTGCCCCAAAATGAATCAATTGAAAGCGTCGCTGGCGGAAATGTTGACGTCTGGGATGAACAGGTGAGTTGTCATTGTTGTAATCTTGTTTCCTTTATTTCGGTATTGGTGTTGCTTTAACCTTTTAACTGGGGAATTAATTTAGAAAATCGTATTCCGATGATTTTACCACGAATACTATGCAATTTATAATCCTCGTAAGATTATCAAAGTATACGTTCTTGGATAACTTAAATAATACTGTAAGTAAAAATTAATTTTATTCTACGGTATGATACAGTTTTAAACATGGCACGGGCAGTAATGAGAATAATGTTACCTTAACCGTTTGAATCCCAAGCAGTGCTTGAGGCTTTCGGAACAACACGGTCGAAAAACCTTGAACAGCCCGATAACGCTTGCCTTAATCGAGTGCGAAGAAGTCTAAACGGTGTAATAGCGCTTGTTTAATTTTATTTCAAAAAATCCCAATCGTCGCAATAGCGCTTGCTGGTAATTTATGACGTACATACATCAGCAAAGTTGAATGCGATCGCGCTGCTTGGGACTCAAACGGTTAAATTTGTCGTTTTTGTAATTCCATTGACGAGTTAACTCGTCATCCCCAGTTAAAAGGTTAACCACTTGCGCTGGAAAGACGTGCCACGCACGTCGTATTGCTTTTGTCGCAGAATCGCTAATGACGTGGTATACACGTTGTCAGGCAATTGTCACAGAAACCCTGGACTGTCTGTGAATTTCTTGCCAATGGTACATGAATAACTATTAATAATGATTTACAGCAAATATAAAGAACTATAATCCGTGGTATAAACGAAATCTAGGGTATTTCGTGATTCGTGGTTGGTTAAAATGGTAAAGTTACTTTTTCTAAAAAGAAGTTCTTTTTCAGAAAAATCAATTTGAAATTTGATCGATAAATGTTCAGTTTGCATATGCAGTATTTGATTAACTGATGCTTTAATGTATCAGTAATTTATTTAGTAGGGTATAATTGATTTAGTAAATAAATAGCAATGCAAATTCGTGACGTATCGAAATATTAATAGTTTCCATTAAATGATAGACTGAATTAATCCAGAGATTCGCTAGCTTTTTCCTAACACAGTGTTCAAATCACTTATCATTTTATAGATAGTATATATCTATTGTAACATAACCTATTGCACGTAATTCTAAAATTTTATGTAATTTGTCCGCCATTTTGACAAACGTAGTAGTTGGGAAATTAATCTAAGGATGATAAAATAATAGATTGAATTCTCGACGAAAGAAAGGTGGGATTTTGAAAAGAACCTGGGGTAATCGATCATTCTGATCCTTGTCCCGATATAGAGTAACTTTATTTATAAAGATACGCGGGTCTAGGTAAATCTCACGATTATCAACGGCACGTAGCCGAGAATTTCCGGAAGCGTGCGTAGCTTTGAGGTTAATACACGTATAATTTACTCTCGACATCGCGGGAATATACTTGGCAGAGAGTGACTTGCCTTGGTGTCTTGGTGATTGCAGATCGGTATCCGATGGGCAGATTGTTTTTTATAAAGATCCATGCCACGATCTGTCGAGTTCAGCGTCATCATCGTCGGACATTTCACTGACTACGATACTAATCTACGTCGTTGACGAGAATTGGAAGTTCGATGATACCATGACGAAAATTTTGCCAAATCTCTATAAGGATTCTCAGAACCGCATTAAGTTCCCGGTTGAAGTAAGTTTGTCGTTGTAGTAAGACAGTATGAGTAAAATTGATACTTGGTTTGGGCCTTCAACAACGAGTTTTATGTATGAATTATATATGATAGATTAATATAATAATTAACGTTTAATATTTAATATTTAATATTTGATATTTAATATTTAATACTTGATATATTTTACTTGGTACTTAATATTTAATATTTGATATTTAATATTTAATATATTTTACTTGATACTTAATATTTTATATTTGATACTTAATATATTATACTTGGTATTTAATATTCAATATTTGATATTTAATACTTAACATATTATACTTGGTACTTAATATTCAATATTTAATATTTAATACTTGATATATTTTACTTGATACTTAATATTTGATACTTGATACTTAACATATTATACTTGGTACTTAATATTCTATATTTAATATTTAATACTTGATATATTTTACTTGATACGTAATATTTGATATTTAATACTCAATATATTATACTTGGTACTTAATATATTATATATTATATTTGGTATTTAATATGCAATATTTAATATTTAATGCTTGATATATTTCACTTAATACTTAATATTTAATATTTCATATTTAATACTTAATATATTATACTTGGTAATTAATATTCAATATTTAAGATTAAAATTTAGATAATATTTAATATTCTTTAATATTTATTACCCAATATTTAATGTCGTATATTTAATATTTAGTATTTAATGTTTATATTTTTATTACTAATATTAAAAATTATTTATAATATTTTAGATTATATAGATATTATTCAATTATTCTCAGCACATATTTTGAATTAATATACGACAGAGCTTCTAGTATTCTATAAGAAGGTTTCCCGATTTTCTGATAAAAGAGAAAGAAAATATAAAGAAAGTAGAAAAGAAGTTAAAAAAGAAAATAAGAGAAGAATAAATTTATTAATACAAGAGATCAATATTTCACGAATGTCCTATAATTTTCCTGCAGCTCTTGCGAGTATTTTTATACTATTATTGGTTGTATGTCGTAAATCATTATCTTGCATGTATGCAATATTTTATTGATTAAAATTCTAACAGAAAAGTGAACGGTTGATATTTGTATTAAATATTATACTTTGGATGTTGCTCGTTGTTGAAGAAGCCAAAAGTTCCTCAATTTTCTTCGAAGCATTTTTATTAATTTTATGTTTACTCTTCGTATGTTCCTCCTTGCTTCCTTTCATCTATACATTTCTTATTAACAATATTGCACATTTAAAAATTTACAATGAATTAAATACCTTTCAATCGTGTATTAGCCTTATCTCAACCGTAATGAAATTATATTAAAAATTTCTTAAATACAAACTTGCAAAATTTTATAAATTTTTGATTCATATTCGATAAAAATTGATTTATATAATAATACAGTAGTATATCGTCGAATAAAAAAGAATTAAAAATTAAAAATTTTCACTGGAAACTAGTATAATAATAATAGTATTGAAATTTTCACTCTTTTTTTTTCTTTTAGCATGAGACGAACTTTTCAAAAATTTTAAACACTATGTCTACATGCTTCGTTTTTCCATAACACGTACACATACACATCATTGTCTGCACTTGTAGAAACTTAGAAGTTCGCACTTGCTGCGCTGGTTCAAACTGGACGAAATTGTTTCGCTAGTAATTATCAGTTGTAGTGAATTAATCGTTCTAAATACATACGAAATACAATATAGTTAACCTATTCCGCCGACTGACCCGCTCTTTTCAGATACAGGGATTTCTTCTGGTACAGGAAACGGCTCCGGATTCTGGAAACGCGATAGCAGTCGTCGTGGTCTCCACGGTTGCCTTGATTTGCTTGATCCTTCTGGCTGGTCTTTTGGTAATGATTTTTTTTATTAATTTTTCTTTTCATTCCGCTTCGTGCAAAATGAACAACATTCATTACCCCCTTCATTCAAAGTATATTATGTATCATAATATACTGCATACTATATTATATATAATATATAAAATACATCGCTAAAATTTGTATTATTTACAAATATTCGATAAAATTTATTTGTATGTTTCATCATTCGATAATTCATATTATATGGAAATCCATATACAGGGTGGTCGTTGACAAACTGAAAGATTTGAGAATTCTTTAATTTTCGATTCTTTTTATTTTTCTTTTCGTGATTAGAAAAATGGTGGTCATTGAAGGGGCATTATTTTTAGCACATAATATCGAAGAAAATTTGTCTATTATATTTCCAAGTAAAATAATAAAAATTTAAAGGGACTTGTGTTTGTGAAAATTATTCTTAATTTATTTCAGTGTCCACTCTGTATAATTTGTTATAGATTTAAATGGAACACTCATTAGTATTGTATTATCGAATGATTAAATACCATATTTATTATTTATATTCGAGTTCCTTAATTTTCACTATAAATAATACTTGACAATAAAAATGGCTATCTCCGACTGTTTCAATATTTTCACAGCACAAACCTACGTCTTCCATCTCAAAAAAGAACAACTTAACCATACAAAAGTACCATTTTCAGCTAAAATCATCTAAAACAGCTTCTTTTATTTCTCTTGTTAATCACTCTCGTCGGTACAATCTACCGTCACTTTCGGACGGATGAATATCCTCTTCACCGATAATAAATTACCTCTTTATAGTTGATTTGCAACAAAATTATTTCCACGATTGTACAAGTACCATTTTCGCTCGTTTTCGTGGAAGAAATCGAGGAACGCGAACTATGTTATCGTTAGTTGCACGCTTATTGGCCGGCACTGTTCACAAAGAAAAAAATGAAATTATCGAAGAAGGGAGAACTAATGAAGTGAGATTCAGTTACGCAGGTCAGCAAAGATCTATACTCTCTGAAAGGCCTCGTCGTGCTTGCATTAAGCTCATTACGCATGATGTTACGTATTCATCCGTCCACACTTGTGATTTACTCTCAGTGTACGTAACAATCAATGATAAATACATATGTGTGCGCGTGTATGTGTTGTGTATCGTCCGGCTTTTTTGAAGTCTTTGGAATTTTTCGAAGAAGCATTTCTCTCTCGGAAATAAATCGAAGAATTAATATTGAAAAGGAAGTGTGGAAAATCATCCTTGGCTACTGAATTATTATATCCTGTATTGAATTATTATACACCATTATACTATAAATTGATTACTAATTTTGAAATCTTAGATCAAAGTAATAGTATGGTAATCAGGTGTAATTTTAAACGATCAAAATTATTTAAGGAGGATTAATATGGAAAATGTTTAATTTAATTTGGTATCGGTTATATCGTAATTCATTTGATTTTATTTATCGATAAGACACGTTGACAAGAGGTGAGCCAGTAAAGACTGTACTCTCTTGTGATTAAACGGTGACGAAGAAACTATACGAGAACAATTAAGAAAGTAAAAATACAGGAAACAATGAGAGCGTAACGATAATGGGTTTTTCTTCTTCCAACGGAGGATTTTACAAACAGAGACAATAATACCACTTTCGTCAGCGGCACGAGAAAGTTGCAATTTGTATCTCTAACTGCATATTCCAATAATGGTGAAGTTGCCACTGTACCATTTCAATATTTCACAATTTCTTCTGACAGCTCGATGGAAAACAATATTTTAGTATATTTTCTTGGTACGTTTGCATAATACATAAATAATTGTTATTAAAATGCTTGAAGATTGTCTCGAAAACTATAAATTCATTTTTTAATATTTTGTATAAAAATATTTTCATTTCGGAGGCTAAGGAATATACAAAAATCGACAAATGGTTAATTTATTTCTTAATAATCTTCTTAATAATTATCTTAATAATTATCTTAATAATAAGCTAGGTTTCAATATAGGGTGAGCATTTTTCTCACCATATACTATATATATTATATTAGCAGTTAATTTCAGTACAAAGCAATGTTCTTAATTTGATTAATTTATAAAGATCACAACGATCAATATATCATTTTGTAAAAAATTTTTTGTCTCAATCAAAATGACCAAATATTATACTGCATTTAATATCATTTTCGAAATTTATTCAAAATTTTATTATAATTATTATATTATTACCATTACTGATATATAAATTTAATAATTATAATGCCGTACTATGAAATTTAATATTATTAGATTAAATTTACACTAATATTAAATTAAAAATGCCGATATTTATACAGATCAAAACGATCAATATATCATTTTGTAAAAAATTTGTTTATAATACCATACTATGAAATTTAATATTGTTAGATTAAATTGACACTAATATTAAATTGAAAATGACGACGTTATCTTTCGGCCAGATCAATATGTACGCGTTTCAAGTCAATGTTTCTATCGTTCAAAAAAGGGTAAAGAAATAGAAGACAGGAAGAGAGAAGTCACGAGTTCGTATTTTAATTCTTTGAAGTTCCATTTGAAATCGGGCAGGTATAAAATTCTTCAAAAATTTCCAAGATTTTTCACGGTTTGCGAGTGGAACTCGACGCATCGCGTCGCTTGTCCAGTATAAAAGCCACAGAACTCGTCCTTGAATCGGCTATTAGATCGAGCAGCCATCACTGCTTCATTGGTTTTCGCCTGGTGTATTCCATGCACGCGTATGCCGATGTCGAAACCGATCGTCGGGACGTGTTTCGACAGAAGAAACACGGCTTGAACACGATGTTTGAAGATCGTTTGCTTCCGATGTATAGGATGCGTAAATTAACGAGAAGCATGGTCGCTGTTCACTTAAAGGATGTTGGAAGAGTGCAAGATAACCCGAGGGTGTCGTCGATCGTTTTAGCGATGAAAAGGAGTTCTGACAGAGATTTATCGATGCTACGATCAGTGAATTAATGCAAATGATTTTTAATTCTTACAAAGATTTGGGAATATTAAGTTTATTAAGTTAAGTTTGGGATAAGTTAGAGAGATTTTAACTGGTTTTAGAGATTTTGTATCTGCAAGTATTAAAAACATGGCGCCTACAATGAAAATGAGCATGAAATAATATTAATAATTTATTAACTATTAATGTGTTAATAATTTATTAATACTTTTATTAATGCAATTAATTAATACAATTTATATTCAGGATATCTGTAATAAATTCGACCTATTAACACAATTAATTCAAATTGGATAAAATAATTTTCAGTGATTTCAGAATTGCAGAATGATACAATGAATTCTATTGGAAATTTCTCGATATTCGAACTACCAAATTAAGCTGAATTACTGGTTACATGGGTCTCGTTTTTGCGATTATTAAAGGCGTGAATTTTGCAATGGAAACGAAGACTAACGGAGATTTTTTAACACGTGGGAGATTATCAAGTTGTTGGAAAATAATAATTTCAAAAGTTTGTCTGTTAGTTATTTAAAACGGTAGAAAAACGTTTTTCTTTTGTTAAATTATTTATGAATTTCTGAAATTATTTTCGTTGAATTAAGTCGAAATATACAGAATATCCAATTTTATAAATTATTTATCACTTTTCTATATTGTATTATGAATATTGTACTAACGAAAACGAAGTTGAAATTTTCAAGAATTAAAATGAAACAGAGGAAGCCATTGAAAGATAAACAAAATTTTGTAAAATTTATCTTTAATGCAAGATATCTTTAACTTCTCTCACCGCAAAAAATTATTTAATTACACGATGACAATGCACAAATTTATGGAACAAAAATGCTTAAATTAAAAAAAAAAAAATTATGGTGAATTTTTATTTGTTTAAATATCTAATATCCATACAAAATAACATAGTAAAACGTTAAAAATAAAATAAATAATATTATAAATATATGAAACAAAACTAATAATCCATACAATTATTTATGCAGTTCATAATAATTCATATATCAAAAATCAATTGTAAGTTTCTTTATTGTTTCTCAATTATGTACTTCGTTTAATAAGTAAATTCTTGTGTGGGAAAATGAAAGAATAAATGCATAAAGAGTCTGAAAATAATTCACAGGGATTTTGTGTTCGAATTCGATTTAATTCTTGCAACGTCAAGCCTAAGACACTTAATGGAGTAGTATCGTGGAGCAGGATATGATGCATTCTGGTACTAATGCCAGTTATTCCTGGGTCGACGAAAGAACACAGCTTTGTTTTTCGTCCGATGTGAAAAGAAATATTGTAGACATGGTGTACCTGCATTTGCGGATGTAAGAATTACAGGTTAGCCTGCGACCGGATGTTTCATACGTCGTAGCCCAATACCGCTTTTATGGTAACTCGACGTTTCGTTGATATTTGAGCATTCCATAAATAAATGTTTACAACATCCAGATACAAAATACATAATACGAATATATAATTTGTTGAGAAAATTAATAATTGCATCGTATCTGATTCTTTAGTTTATTTTTTACATCAATAGTAAAGAAGATTTATAATAATTCCTTGAAAAATAATTCATGCATAATTTACGTATGATATTGCAATATTTAATTTGTTTTATATTAATTAGTAAAATTTAATTTTCATTATTTTACATTGGAATATTTAATGAATATTCTTTGTACTATGTATAATATATAATATATACAATGTTTATAATAACATGTGTAATATACAATTATATAGTATATAATACATGATATGGTCATTATTATATTTATATAACTTGATTATAGTATATTTTTATATCTAATTGTAGAATTATATAAAGATTATTATAGTTATAAAATTGTATCAAGAGACAATTATATTATCCAATTACATATTACATATTTATATATTTATAGTATATAATTATATACTATATCTTCGTATTATAATTTCGTCATAATCAACAAGTAGATTCTTATGAAATCATCACATTTTAATTTACGTATGACATTGAAATATCTAATTTATTTTATATGAATTAGAAAAATTTAATTTTCATTATTTGACATTGGTATATTAAATGAATATTCTTTGTACTATGTATAATATATAATATATACAATGTATATAATAATACGTCTAATATACAATTATATAATATATATGATATGGTAATTATTATATTTATATAACTTGATCATAGTATATTTTTATATGTAATTGTATAATTATATAGAGATTGTTATAGTTATATAACTGTATCAACGAATAATTATACTGTCCAATTACATGTTACATATTTATATATTTATAGTATATAATTATATGCTATTTCTTCGTACTATAATTTCGTAATACATCAACAAGTAAATTCTTATGAAATCATCAAATCATGTTGAACTCCTTTTCTGCGCGCCCTCGGACCCAAAATTCGGAAATGAAGTTTATTCATTTATTATTTTATTCATTCTCTAACTTTAAAAGTGTACAATACTAATGACGCTAATATTAAATTATCTTCAACATCGTTTCTTATTAATATCGCACAATTCAATCGCGTTGTCAATCGGCAAAATTCATTAAGAGACTCCAAATTATTTATCATTTCATGTATCGTTTTCTATCTACCAGCAAAACTGATCTTCCACTGCATTCTGTGTATCTCATTAGCATACTATCACTGATATCGCTTTCTTCCTAACACTTCACGAGTGATCAATTAGCAGAGTAACGAAATCATTCTACCAAAGGAACTCCATAGAATAGGAGTTTAATCGAAAATGAAAATTATTTGCAGTTTATAATGAGGAAGAGGCAAACGAGGTTCAACTATGGCGAACGATGTCGTCCAGTGTCTTTGGACGCATACAGCCTTGACAGTGTTTCCGCTTACAACAGTGTCAGACGCAAAGGTGTGGCGAGGTCGTCAAAAAGAAGTTATGGGAATCCAACTTTCGAGGATTCGGTAAGTTTCATTGACCTTTTACCATTGCATGACCATTATCGAATATTAAACATAGAATTTTAATCGGTCAACAAAGTCGAATGAGCAATTTCTCAACGGCCATTTTGAAAGAGAATTTCTTTGTTTGAGCATTTTCATTGGTCAGTCTATGTCGATTGGAACAAGTGTGACAATGAATGATTAATTATTGAGTGTGAAAATGTTTTTTGTCCATGTTCGTACATTTTTATATTAATTTTTATATTAAGATATTAATATTGAGTTTTTAAACTAATATAATATAAAAAGGTATAGAATTACTTATTGTTGATAATTGAATAAAATTTGACAACATGTAAAGAATGTTTAAAGGAACTTTGCTTATTCGATAGCATGTCAAAAATAAAATTGCGAAATATTATATGTTATACTTATATATATCGAAGTGTAATTAATTTAATATAAAATGTGTTAAATAAGAACGATAAATCAGTTTCGTTTTTAGCTACTTTTTTAAATAAACCGGATATGTTCAAAATTATTCGATATCACTATTTTTATTTATGTAAATTAATAAAAATTAGTAAAAATATATTTTCATTAATTTTATAATATTAAAATCCTATCTAATTCAATGAAGATTATAAATTATATAAGTTACTAATTTCAAACTGAACAGATAATATATTTTCCAAAAAATGCAAAAGAATAATGTATATACAGGGTGCCCCATTTGAAATTTGTCGCCCAATTATTTCCTAAACTATAATTCGTTTCAAAAAATGTTTCAAATGAAACTTATACTGTTTCAAGGTGGATATTCTGTGATGCTCATAAATTTTTGCTGAGTGGACGTGTTTTCGAAATTTCAAGGGAATCTTTGATTCTTTTTAATTAAACTATATATTTCCTTTATGTAAGCGAATAGTGTGTTTTCAAAGTTAATTCATTGATCTATAATACTTTTGTCTTTGAAGGTTATTCAAGGATTTTCAATTCAATTTTTTAATTGAAAATAACTGGATTAATTTAATTTTTTAATTGAAAATGATAATCTTAACTATAGTGTAGGAAATAATTGAGTGCGAAATTTCAAATAGGACACCATATATATGTATATAAATTTGGATCTCGAACAAGACACAAAATTTAATTTATAAAATATTGTTCTTATATTTATAAAATATTGTTACTATATTTTTAATTGTTCTTGTATTTTTAAATAAAAGAACAAACTGCTAAGATCTGAGGCATAATTACTTACGTTGTCTCGTTACATGATAAAAACGAACTGGTTTATTTTCTTACAACTCGACTTTCTATTAGGTAAATCAGCCAGAACGAAGACAAACTTATGTTCGCGTTGCAACTTGAAATCTCGAACAGGAAGAGATTCGGAATATTTCAATTGCGTAAATTTTTCATACTGATTTTACGTGTAATATACTCGTCAAACGAGTAGCATTTGAAATTTTCTCGTTACATAAAATTATTTATGAATTTCTGATTGAAATTAATATATTAAACATTTAATATACATTTACAGTCACAATGAAAAATAATTTACTATACTAATTTCATTTTTATTTTTTCTTATGATGACTGATAATACTCCTGGTGAAACAAGAACAATTGGCTTTTATATTATTACATTATTATATAAATTGATCATTATCGTTACTTTATTCTTAATCTAACTTGAGGTTACTATTGAATAAATAAAAACGTGATCGTACTCGTTGAAATAAAAATGATTATTATAACAATTAGAATAATATAGTTCTCTAAAATTTATTAAATTGTAGAAAAAGATATATACTCGTGCTCTTTTAATTTAAATAATTATCTTCGAATGAGTCTTGGTTCTACGATTTACATTGACGCCTGAATTTTGCAGTGACATTTAAATTTTGTCGATAAACGACAAAAATATTTTTATTTACTTTACCTGTTAAATTGATCGTTATTTGCATCATGTTATGCATAACAACGTTTTGCATCCTAATGGTATCCTATCCAAACATATTCTTCTGTTTGTAGCTTACGCTTAGCACGTTCTTGTAAATATAAATTAACTACTCAGGTAATTTATACAAAATTGTCTTTCAGTAGTACCTCTTTACCAAATAATCGTATCGCATTAAGAAAACGTAGCATTGAATTATTGTCAATAGAAAATTAGGTTCTTGTAAATAAAAAACGAGGGAGAAAAATAATACTTGCACTATGCTTATACTTATAATGTCGTACTAGGAAATAGTTAATTTCCCCTTTGTCTTATTGTATATTGTGAAAGCTCCAGCAGAGTTACAAAATTTAAATCTTTAGAACGTCTAAAGTTTGTGTAGCAGTAACAGAGAATAAAAGTGCTATAATCGAGTATTCAAAAACTAATCGAGTTTAAGGGAGTGTATCGAGGATGTGAATTTTTCGCAGCGATAAACTAATTATTTAAATTCACGTTTATCGATGAATATTAAAACGGTGGTACTTCGTTGTAAATCTTGTCTTCTCTACTCTCTTCGATAAAACTTTGATCAGGAACATAACAGTATTAAAATATTACATTTGAAACTACGTATTTGAATTTATAATGAACGTTTAAATATTAAAGCAAATATTAAATATTAAATATTGAGCAATAACAATCAGTAAAACAATAACAGTCAGCATTGAAATTAAGGAATATTAGATACTTGAGCCTACAGTATATTGAGTCTGGATTCTCTATAATATACATTAATTTATAATTATATCGAAGTAGCATTTTTTGACATAGAACTAAACTTACTATAACTATAGTAACTGTATTTATATAGTAACAATATTCAATAAAATAATTATATTGCTGCGGCTTATAATTATTATTTATTATTTATAATTTTATTATTTATAATTAATTAACCATAATTTATAATTACAGTTATGTTACGGATACAGTCATAATTATTCTATAAAATTAAGAACTATTTTTTAAAATTCCCGAAAATCAAAATTCGCGTGCAAATGTACTCAAATATACTCAAATATACTCAAAGGAACGACGTCAAAGAGGAAGATCAGTATGACTACGAAATGGTAGCGATGCATCCGACGAATACTCCGTTTAACTCGGTTAACGTTGCGGTAAAAGGCAGGAAAATGGTGTTTCTACGAAACGTGTGTCCTCGTTGCAGAGCGCCATACCGTCTCACCCGTTGAATTTCGCCGGGCTTTCATCTTTCTGTAACGACGTCAACGCAATCAACGAGGAATTCAGCGGCATTCCGCAAGTTTCGGCGAAGATAGACGAGCTGCCCCCTGGCGCCGATGTGAAGAACCGATACGCCAACGTGATACCGCTACCGGAGACGCGGGTGCCACTTCAAAAAATCAACAACGACCCCCTTACCGAGTACATCAACGCCAGCTATGTACGAGTAAGTGGCGCCATATTTAATTTTTCTAATACTTCCATTAGCAGAATACAAATATAAATTACATTTATATTTATTAGAAGAATACATTTATAATAATACGATAGTAATAGAAATAAAAATGATACATAGTTTTCGATAGATATGGAAAAATTTAGATGAAAAATACTAAAATGGAGTATAGTATTAAAATTTGTACAAGATATAATATCCTGTATAATACTATAATACTAAACTACATACTAAAATACTAAAATACGAATAAAAGTATAGTATATTATTCGAATTTCTAGAAATTATAATATTCTGTATAATAATATAATAATAACGAAAATAAAAATATCGTCATGAAAATGATGCTTTGTTTCCGACAGATACAAAAAGATTTAAAAGGGAAATACTAAGATAGCGAATAATATTAAAATTTGTAGATATGATATTCTAACCTAAAAGAAATTAGTGGCTCAAGTGGACAATACATTCATAATAATAATAATAAAATTAAAAATTGCACATTACCATAGAAATGATATATTGCCTTTAATTCATGCAAAAATATGAAAGGAAATATTAAAATGGCAAATAGTATTAAAATTTGTGAAGAAAATAATATCCTAACCTAGAAGAAATTAGTGGACCAAATGAAAAATTCATTTATAGTAATAATAAAATTAAAAATTATATATTGCCATAAAAATGATAGATAGCCTTTAATTCGTGCAAAAGAAATGTCGAAAAATATTAAAATAGTGAATAGTACTAAAATTTGTGAAGAAAATAATATCCTAACCTAGAAGAAATTAATGGACCAAATGAAAAATTCATTTATAATAATAATAAAATTAAAAAATTTATATATTGGCATAAAAATGATTGATAGCCTTTAATTCGTGTAAAAGGAATGTCGAAAAATATTAAAATGGCGAATAGTAATAAAATTTGTGAAAAAAACAATATTCTAACCTAGAAGAAATTAGTGGACCAAATGAAAGATTCATTTATAATAATAATAAAATTAAAAATTATATATTGCCATAAAAATGGTAGATAGCCTTTAATTCATGCAAAAGAAATGTCGAAAAATATTAAAATTTGTGAAGAAAATAATATTCTAACCTAAAACACCCTAACCTAAACCTTTATCCTAAATATCCTAACCTTTGATTCGTTGAATAAAATCAATTTAATTAATTAATTACAATTTTATTAATATCGATAGTACTTATTTACCAACTCGCTATAATTAGAACAAACTCTCCGCCCCATGATTCATTAATTTCCTCAATCCACGATGATTTTAAGCGAATTCTGCGTATAATCTCGGAAAATTCTCTGAATAAAGACATATTGTAACGTATCTCGAGCGATCTAGGCGCACGCGAGTAAGGGTTAACACGGCGTTTTGTCTACGTGAGAAAAGGATGTTGCATAATGCATTACGAAGAACACGAATGACTGTGTTGCATAACCTCGAAGCAATATGCGGAAGCGGGACGGACGTTAACACCTGTTTCCCTTCAGCCATTAGAACATTTAAATAACGCGCTTTAACAACAAGAACGACGATTAATCGTTGCCTCGATCACCTCGACGTTTCGTTCTTACCAAAATTATCGCAAGATATCACCGATGATGAAATTGAAAGTTTTCGATGATATTTCCGAAGATTAATCTTATAACAATTCGGAAAATTCGAAAGATTTGTTCGAATGCTCAGATGGAATCGATTTCAAGAATTTTACGTGGAAAATTATTCGGAGTGGATTTATCGTCAACCAATTCTGTTTTTATTACATAACAGTATAAATTTCATCCACCTATTATTTTAATTCACTATAACTTCCCTCTGTCATTATTACGTCTAACTTACCTTTAAATCTCCCTCCTTTTTCAAAATGCACACGACTGCGAAACTTAATACGACATTACCGAAGATATTCCTCATTATATCTCTTATTTATCATCTTCCAATTTTTTTTTCATTTATATAATAGTATGGACTCCTCCATTTTTACGTCTAATTTATTTTTAAACATCTTCCTTCCTCTTCAAAATACACGTGACTATCAAACATACAGGGAATCATTCGAATAAAATGTATTATATATTTCTCTTACATTTTTTTATGTAGAATCACCTGATTCTCGTTTGTACATTTCATGGAAACCCTATATATGACTCCAAAAAATATTCTGCACCGTAATGCTATTTTATCATTCAACAATTTTTGTTTCTATTGTAACATAATATAAATCGTGGTTAGGATATGTTTAAAATTCTCAAAAATATTACTTATAATGTTACTAATTTGTCATCTGCAAATTTTTGTTTGCAACACGTAACGGTGCAAGCTTCCTGGACCTGTTATTTCAACTTTTCACGTTCTATCCATTATACGTTCAAAGTCGACTTAAAATCTCATCATCGTCCAAGCCTATACCTAGCAGACGCTCAAAGAACGTTTACGATCCTTCAAGAAATAACAAGCCACCTATTAGAATTGCCTTAACAAACGGATGTGGACGGTCCATCGTTTTCAACGTTTCCACTCTGCGCGTGTCGCAATTACAACAGGAAGCCGCCATTAATGCGAATCGAACGCCCCGAGGGCAACGTTCTCGTACTTGCAATTAGCGACCGGTCCTCCTCGGTCGATAATATCGTTCGATAATGTCGGTCGATATCGCGCCACGTGCGCAACGCAATTATTGTGCCTGTTAATTGATTCTAGCTGCAACCGAGTCTCCTCGAAACGCGTCAACTCGGACCGAGAACTAATTTCATATTAACGCTGATTAGCATTTCGCTAATTAATACTGCTTGCCGTGTAATTATTGTTATGTTATGCTAAGGAATTTCGCTTGAGACAAACGCATCGCATTGGGTAGATGATCTACGCGTGGTATTTGCTCGATTGATATCGAGGTGAAGAGAATTTGACGGAAGTAGAATAGCGGTGAGGACTACAGATAAAATTAGGGTTGAAATTGATTCGGTTTAAAGTATTAGTTAATTTTAGGGAGGATAGTCTTTTAGAGTATATTCAGTTATTAATTTACTTATTAATAAATTATTTTATTTTACTTATTTACTAATACATTATTTTCTTTAATTTATTTATTACTTATTAGTACAATCACTAAATATTAATTTATTAATTGTTTAATTTCTGAAACAATTAATGCAAATTAAATTCAGAAATTAATTTTAATAATGATAAATTCAGTGACAGTTATATACTTAATGAAATAAATAAATGAACACAAATTAATTAATTAATTGAAAAGATAAATAAATCAGTAAATTTTAATTTATGTATTAATTTAAATATATTAATATTTGAGAGGAATATTAATTAAAAATTTTAAAAGAAATATTGTTTTAATGTAAATTAATTTTTCAGAACTTTTATTAAATTTAGAAATTTGTTTTACTTTCTGAAAACTTCATTTTTAACTAACTACTAATAAGGATGTATTATAATAATGTCGTCAATTTTACAAAATGTATATGATTTGCCATTTTGGACATTTTTCGTAAAATCCACGAAAAATATTTTGAATATAAATATAAATTAATAACTTAAACATTAAGTTAGATATATTTAAATATAAATCAAATTTATATTTAATCTTCCTCGTATTATTGTAATAATTAAAATGGCTTATTTTTACCAAATTTATCATTTGCTATAATTATTTTGGGACCATTTTCAGGGACCAAAGAACGCAACAAGATACTACGTCGCTTGTCAAGCACCAATGGAGTCGACAGTCACCGACTTCTGGAGGATGATCTGGGAACAGCAGTGCAAAGTGATCATCATGTTAACCGATCTCGTTGAAAATGGGGTAGAAAAATGTACCGAGTACATTCCACCCTCGGAAATTATCGACTGTCGCAAGTTATACGGTGACTTCCAAGTCACTCTGAAGAAGAGAGAAACCAAAGAAAAATATGCCATTTCCACGCTTCATTTAAATGTAAGGAACGAGATACGTGGAATAATTTCTTTCAAATTTATAAAAATATTTCTTACAGGCTTCTATTATTTATTCCTATATTACATTGTGATAATATAACACTATTTTCAACTTCAAAGAAATTCTCTTTGCAATAATTAATTTAATTATTAAAATTATTTAAGAGAGTATAGTGGTCATAATATATGAATAATAGAGGTTACTTTAATACAGCATTCCGTAAAAGTTCATAAAATTCAAAAATTTTAAGAGTTCAAAAAAATTTCACAAAATTCCATGAAATTCTGTAACACTTCCTGAAATTTCGTTAAATTCTATAACTTTCATAAAATGACGCAAAATCTAGCAAAATTTCAAAAAATTCCACGAATTCCATAAAATTTCACAAAATTCATAAATTTCTAATAATTTCACAAAATTCATACATTTCCAAAAATTCCATAAAATTTTATAAGTTTCGTAAAATGTCAGAAAATATTTAATTAAAGCGAATAATTATCGCTTTTGCAGAATTTGGAGAAGAACACATTCCGTGAAGTGTACCATATTTGGTACCTGTGGCCTGTGAACGGGGTGCAGTCGGATGGTGCCGGCTTGATAGCTGTGCTACTCGAGGCGAGGGCACTTCAAAGGGGTGGCCCTGGACCCATTGTGGTCCACTGTAGTCCCGGCACTGGACGCACGGGAACGTTAATAGCTCTTGACCTAGGAATTAGACAATATGAGATTACGAGGACTGTGGACGTGCCAAGGGTCGTTTACACTATCAGACGGGATCGTGCTGGGGCTGTCCAGACGAAAGAACAATACGCTTTCATTTACAAGGTAATTTGCTTTTTAACTCCCTGGCTGTATTCCGTTGTTTCGTTTCCTCGTCAGGGAGTCGTAGATTGGCCTATCGTTTAGATTGGTTGATACCTCGGTGTACAAGTGTGCGATTTTCTGTAATTTATTATATTCGAGTGCAATGGAATATCAGAGGATGGAGATAGTTGACTCTTTATTGAGAAATCTACGATTATTTCAATGTGTAAATTTTGTGTGAATATTTTATTTCAAAGAGTATGTCATTAAAAAGAAAGAATGTTACTATGTGTATATATATAAATTTAGATTGAAAGTAGTCATGTCGAATGTTAGTCGTTTATATGATATAATGGAAAATAGAAATGAAAATGTTAAATTTATTTTTCATATTTTCAGGCATTAAATTTGTACGCGACCAAACTTGCCGGCGGTGTATTGGAATCTACGTGAACCACACAAGATATCGAAGAAACCTTTATTCAGAAGCAAATCTAAGTCTTGGCAGTGAACTGCTATATCTTTGAACGATAAACATCACCGAAGACGTTAGGGAACTGCGAGATTATAAGACGTGCCAGTGTTACCTGGGTAGAAAGCTAATGAAAATCGAACGAAAGAATTGTCTTGTGATACATGGACCATAGCGACGATCGTGTCTCGCTTTAGATTCTTGCTTAGTCCTCTCGATGTCCGACGATTTCGCGAAGAAATTTCGAAACATCACTTACCATCCGTTTGTCTACCCCTCTCGGTCGATACCAGTGTTCGTTAAAAATGTTACCATCGGATAAGGTAATATTTGTAAGATCCTTCTCTAAGACTTAAATATTTAAATGTAATTTATGTAATTAAAATTTTGCACGTGTGATATTTAATTTAGGTTTAAAGGAATTCCGAAAATTGTGCAGAAAAATGATATGAAATGACTTGAATAAAGTTTTTAATTCAAGGTAAATAAATGTTGATTGCAAAATGTTTATAAAATATTACATCTTACAATTCTTATAGTTCTAAGAGCTCAAAAAACGAAAAAAAAGAAAAAAAAATAGGAGGAATTAAAATTCCTTTAGAATTCTATACTACATTTTTCTACGATAAAATGCTGCATCCAGTTTCCTTCAGTAGGATAAATATCGATATTCTATTCTAAACGTATTAAGAGGAAAGGACAAATCAGATGGTAACACGTTCAAATCGATAAAGAAGAGTCGAGAGGCAGGAATTAATTTGTGATATCCGGACCATCCGTCAATGATATTCAACTTCTTAGGCCTATTCGATTTCGTAAAGCTTTTTTTACCGTAGATTTCGTCTCCTTTTGTCAATATTTTAATATACATATAAATATACTATACATATTGCGTATATACATATATTTATAAATAAAATTATAATTAGATATAGCTGAGTATTTAACGTTTATGCATCATGCGTTCGTAGCCGGTAGTATTATCCAGGAATGACGGTCGTAAGAGGATTATTTCGGTCGATAAAGTGTTCTGCATGACCGAACGAGATGCTTCGAGAATTAGAAAGACAAGACAGATATTTCTTTCCCTGAAAATTCTATATGTATATTTGGTATCGTTTAAAGATGTAAAGAAAAAAGGAATATATATGTATACAATGTATGTTAATTATTCTTTAGTATTACGATCGTTTACGATGTTACGTTTGTAAGGATCCCAGAGAGATTGCAGGATCGATTTCTTCTTCTTTCTCTTTTCTTTTTCCGAACGACCTATAGATTATGCATAATATATAATATTACCGTATTATTGTTGTTATTGTTATTGTTGTTGTTGTCAATGTACAGATACTTTGATTCGTAGCAGGTCGCTCTCTATAATTGTACATACATAGAAACCAGCCCGAGGACATGTGGAATTACGAATGGTAGTGTCGTTAGACTTCGGTTAGGTTCGTTTCGTTCGTGAACGTGTCGTGAATTTCCGTCAAATGCACGAGTGTACTCGTCGTCAGTTGCATTCTATTGGAACCTCGAAAATGTACGAGGAACGTGGTATTATCACATCAATTTTGTCGGTTTCGTTAACCCTCTGTAACGCCAGGTAATTTCGAGGTTATGTATCTATATGTATATATTCCTGGAATTCATTCTATTCGTTTATTAGCTGTTGTTGTGCCATTGAATTTGAACCAAATGATTTTCTTACAGCAATTATTTGTTTTTGATTTTTCAATGAAAGTAATTAATTAAATTGTAATTAATCGTAACCTTTTTCTCTCGCTAGCAAACTAGATTCTGGTTATAGAGGGTTAAACACCGTCGCTGTTGCTTCTGTTAAGCGTCAAGCATTTGTTGTAGCATCTGAAAACAATCAAATGATGTGATGAACGTAAACGATCAGTTTAATGATTCATTTCGACGGTTATTTTTAGCCGATGAAATTACTTTAAATGTGGTTCAAAAAATATTAATTCTTTAGCTAGAAGCTAATTTACATGTGAAATATGCGAATTTTAGATTTGTGATTCTCGTTCAGTGTGCATGGAATGAATTGATTCTTTACTTTCTGTGTCCTTTAAGCCGTTTTATGTGATAACTGTATACGTATACACGATTAGCTATGGCTTTTGTTAAAATTAGATATTTTGTCTTTTGTAGGAAATATGTATATAATCAGAGTTCCCTATTTTTATTAAGATGGAGAAGAAATTATGTGAACATTTTATTTTATTAATTACATTTTTGTTTCAAAACAATTCTTTAGCCATTTTTTTTCCTCGCTAAATTAAAAACGTTTCATTCAATTATAAAATGGAGAATTATTTTTCATAATAATAATTGTAGAAATTACTGAAATCGTTAATTTTTTTCTATCAAATAGAAAATAAAGTGGAAAGATTAAAATTTTAATAGTATGATTGAGTAATATAAATAATAATAAAGATAACAATTGATTTTATTATTGGAATGTGATTTTAGGAAATAATTAACATGGTAAATTGCTACTTTTTAAAATGTAATTTTAAACAGAGTTTTAATGAAATTAGTGAAAAACAAGGTATTTATTTGCTAACACATAATCACATTTTCTTGAGATTTTAATTTTTCATAATTTTATACATTTTATACATATAAGTTATCCAAAATTAACTTATTTCTCTCTACATTCCACAATTTCCAAATTCCAAATTCAATCTTGAATTCATAAAATATATTCTTTCATATCTGTCTCCTGTTTAAAAAACAGACTCTAATAAACTCGAGAATGAAACAATCAAAGAATTTTGATAATCCAATCGCCAAAATCAAAAGACAAATATATCCACTGTACTTTGATGTATAACAAACAATTTTGAAGCCATTGTTGATTAAACTGCAAAGTACGTATAGTATTATAATCGATAAAATTAGCGAAATAGCATAATCAGTGATCGACAGGGCGTGAATGAAATTTTGTACGATCGCATTCTCTGGCGAAACCAAAATCCCTTAATCGACAGTCGAGATCGACTTACGACTTCTATGAAACGACACAGAGAATGGAGTGAGATAGAACATTCAACTGTGAAGACAGAAAACAAGACCAGGAATACAGGGTTAATTTGTAGCTTCTTCAAACCCGCTAGTTAGACCTAAATAGCGGATCGACTACGCCATTTTGTAGTATCGATGAATAAACGGATAAACGAATCACAGTCGATTACGAAGTATGAAGACTCGTGGTACTCACGATGCCGGTTTTTGAGGTTATGCTCGAAAACAGAGACGATGGAAATATTCCAAGCCGTAATCCGATACGCTTCAATGAGGACACGAACATCGAATATAGACGTTTATCGCAGAATTAAATGACAATGGCAATTTACACGTGTGAGTGCACAGAAACTTTTCTCAACGATACAGCAACATTTTCTACAGTTTCGTGCAAAGGCCTTGAACGTTGTACTATTTTACGTATCATTAATTTGAACATGGTTACATATAGCAACATATGATAATATATAATATAATATAATATATAATAATATATCAATATATTATATTATGTGTCAAATGTATTATAGTACATTATAATATTATATTAATATATTATAATATATATTCAAATATCATAATAATCCTGTTAGCCATATCTGTCGTTGTCAGATCTTCGAAATACTTGCTACAAGTTTGGTCACCAAAATTTTACCAAATTTCACGCAGTATCTGGTTATCAAGTTGTGTTAATACATTGGCAACTAAAGTGCATAATTCTTGCACCAACATTGGAAATGGCAGGTTATGGCTGTCTGTTAATCTTAATTTAGTATCACAATGTTAGATACAATATTTGACACCAAAACCGAGAAGTAACGATACAGATGGATGTGGTTTTATTATAAGCCTTGTAAAAATTTGGTGCCAAATTGGTGTCATGTTGTAATCAAATTGTTCACTGTTTAACAATTAAACAGATTGTTTACTGACTATCTTATTTCAATCCAATTTCATTTGTTAGATGTTCGAGACGAAAGCTGTCTAGTACCTAACCTAGATGCGACACTGTAACCTGAATAGTCTAAGACGTTTGCACGGCACTGTGCATCAGTATATATAGTACCATATAAACATTTGCCATAGGATAAAGAAGTAGGAAACTTTGGATTTACTACGTACGTTAGATCTTTATAAAGGACTAGCATATCTAGAAAATAAAGTTTGACACACGAGGAAATGATAGAAGTATAAGTGTACTGATCTCATTTGCTGGAGTTTGCAACGAGCGAATACAATCGGGCGAGTTTTGAGGTTAGGAACGGACCGTTTCGTGTGACGCTGTTATTTAAAATGACTCTTGCTCTGTTGCGAAAAATATCGCTATTTCCAGTGTAAACAGCATGATGTACCGAGCGGTCTCTGTATTCCGAATAGTATTATATAATGGAACAAAATATATCTCGTAATCGATATATATGTTAGGATTTTCTGTCTTACTTAAATGATATAACCGATAACCAATAAGTCGCAGTCATCGTGAACGTATAGAAGACTGTGTGTGTGTGATATCGTTCTATGTAATATCGATCGTGAAAGACGATAGAGGTGTCTACGTTAAAATTCCAAATGATTAAGGTATTCGACATACTCAAACCAGTGTTAAACGCGCCAAATAAATATTGTTTAACTGTATTAACCATTAGAGGATGGGGTCTCGTGGAGAGTTGTTCTTTAAGCGTTGTCCACTTCTTCCTTTCCATTCGGTAGTGGGATTTCGGTAGAAATATTTGGAATTTTATTGAGAACCTGGAATTTCTAATTTGGAAAAATAAATTACTTATTTTGATTCGTGTTTATTTGGTTTACAGAAAATCAAAGGTTTTTGGAAAATTTTAAATTTGGTACAGTATGGATAGAATGCTTTTCTATTATTTTCTACATCGTTTCTTTTCTTTTTAATTTTATATTTTATTTTATTTCCATAATTTTTCTTTCTCTTAATTTTATACCTTGTTACTTTTCTAGTTATTTTCTTTCTTTTTGCGGTTCCTTACTTCGCGCAATGAAATATTTCCACGATTTTTGCTTTCTTTAGGATTTTATACTTTATTCTGTTGCTTTCCCTTACCTTCGTAATTCTATACGTCAATTCATATATTTCTTAATTTTTATTTTATCAGCGAAATGTGTGATGTTGAAATTAATAGCTCAAATTTTTTTCTCTACAGTTTATACGTTTTAAAAAATTATTTTATATTTTACAATAATCCTCACGAACCTATATATGTATTTTTCAAAATTTAATCACACTGTAACTGTAATTTATCAAAATTTTACACGACTAACGAT